GATATGAGATTATTTTAGAATTTGAGGAGCTGTACAAACATATCGGATGCCAAGTCTGTAAGGAGTTATCTCATCTGTTTCTGGGACGGGGCAGGTACAAAAATCTCGACAAAGCCTGAAATGTTCAGCGTAACCTTTGATCGCTAACCTTATCACTCCTGCCTTCGAATCCAATGTCCCATTTTTTCACTGTTACCCCCCCTGCCCCTCAGGTTGACCGAGAGAAACCACAAAACAGTTCGTTCAGTCATGAAACTCGTCTTTTAGAATGAACTTGCAGCTTGGCATGCACAAGGCTTGGGATCACAAAGGCCACCATATCACACTTGAGAGCGCAAGGAGCTCACAGCGGCGTGCTCTGGTACACAGCGCACGAGGATGCAATCAATCAGACGTGTGATCACACAGCTCACATGAGCAGCTGGCAGCCAGCATTATTGGCCGGACATTCATTCACTAATAAAACCAATTAGTCAATCTGACAGTCTTCTAATTCGGTCAATATACTCAAATACACACCTTTCCTGTTTCCATTAACACAGTGTTTAATAATTCCATAAAACACAGGCAATACATTTTTGCACATTATGGATACAGTGGCCATAGATAAATTATATCGACAAAATGATAACAGACTGAAGGCAATATTTTAGTTACTGTTCTTACAAATTTCTCTAACAATGTCAACTACCAAGAAGCCAATAACATTCTGTCAATCCTATTTATTATTTAGTGTTCTGTCTGGCGACAGGTCCATATGAACAGGATCCTTCCATCCTTTTCTCGGACTGGGACCTGTTCATATAAGTTCTTGGCAGATGATCCAGAAGTGGTTTGCCATTGCCTTCTTCTGTGTGTGAATGGAGTAATTGTTCGGATACCACGGAGAAACCGGGGAAGCCCCCGGAGGAAAACTCCGTGATGCCTAGACCACGGCCTTGCCCAACACAAGTTATAAATTCGGGCACCGCCGGGAATCAAACCCGAGACCCCAGGATTACAAGGCCAGCGTTCTAACCGCTAGACCACCGTGGCATCTGTCAATCCTAGTAAATAATAATGCCATGTAAATTTTAAATAAGAGACAGTGAAACTTCGCTGTACAAATAACGAAAGAGTAGATATATTTTATTGGTTTAACTTTTCAAACTATCAGCATGGAGTAAAGTTTCTCCTGGGAAATGATGGTCAACTAATTCCCTATCTTATTCACAACACCCTGGCACAACAGTTTATTCGGAGCTAGATAAATCTAGTCCTCGCCCCGGCAACCTGTACTTCCAGAACCATTCTTATTTCCCCTAATCCACCCTCCTGTCACTTTCTCTGTGTCAGGCACAATTACTCTCATTAGCACTCTCTCGTCGAACATCCTCAATTTATTTTCTTCTCTTAGTCACACTACACATTTTATAACATTACTACTGAAAATCTGAGTTCAACAGATAAGAAAAATTACCTCTAAACCAAAATAACGCTTTTACCCGTACTAAAAAAATTCACAATAAAACCACCGCGTTATCGAACACAAGTTAACGCTTCGCAATGGCAGTCAACTGGCTAATAAAACCTGTTATTTTATTCTACAGCGTCAATCAGCCCTGTAATACCAAGTCTGTTAGCCAAAACACAATCTCATTAACTGTTGAATGTTGCCATTCCCTCCGCCTTCAGCACAATTTGAAACGAACTTCATTTCATGATTCAACTACAGTTCAGTTAACAAAAGAATCTATATATTTCCCCCACTCCACCTAACAGCTACCACCCCTCTCGCTCCAAACAGCTGTCATCGTCTAGAGGCGCGCTCTACGTTCCTGGTTTGAGTTTCATTTAATTTTTAAAATAAATCAATATTACTTTTTGATATACTGGGAACGACCCGTTCTTCAGTGCCTTCAGCATCTGCGGGTCCCAACTATTTCGTTGGTTTTGATCTATTAGACATTCGGTAGGACTCCTTGGACGAGGGATCGGCCCGTCGCAAGGCCTCTACCTATTTAAGGTACAATTTGGCTGCACGCGACAGAGACAAGCGACCGAGGCAGGCGACAGAGTTACGAGACCGAGACTGGTCGCTTCCTGTCTGCTCTCTGTACAATCGTATGAAGTACAATTACGAGCGCGAGACAGAGACAAAGCACAGGAGACCGCTCTCGGACCAGTAGTGTCTCGCGACGGGCTCAGGCAGCACGTGTGTTGTTGAGTAAAATAATATTTTTCACAGAATATGTGCACGTATGTCTCAACAAAACAAAGAAAACAAACACTTTGCCGCATGTCTCGGTCGTCACCTCAGAAGTGTGTGGCGACAAGCTGCGATGTGTCCGTCTCCCGTCTCTGTCGCCTGCCTCGGTCGCTTGTCTCTGTCGCGTGCAGCCAAATTGTACCTTTACAGGACAGCAGAACACAGAGAGACGCGGACAAACATAAATGCCTTGAGTGGGATTCGAACCCACGGTCCCAGTGACACAAGGCCCACGCCTCAGACCGCGCGGCCACTGCGAACCCCACTTTTTGACATGAATCACATTTTTAATGGCAACGACGATTACAACAATAAATAAGTAATGAAGGAACTTGAGGGGTTGACGGTGAGGTCTGCTAGTTGTGGCCGCACTGTCGCGTTCAATAATTGAAATACTTCTCCTTGCTTGCGGGACAGGTCAAAGAGACATTTGGGCGATGGGTCATAACTACCTACTGTTAATTTAACGGAGTTCTTAGTATTCCTTTACAATGCGCACTAGAGCTAACAAAGACCGGGTCGATTGTCGTTGACGCACAACACGACCTGGTCACGAAACGGAAGAAATAGCTACCACGACAATTCCTTCTCGGAACTCGGCAGTCATATTCCGGAAACGAAGCGTAAACGACTCATTTTAACGCAAAAAGGGGATAATTCTTCTGTCGTTATCGAAGGTACAGTCACCCTGACAGCTCAAGGAACATGCCTGGAACAAAAACTCGTTGCTTTTATGGATTTGGCTACGAATCGATATACTGTGTCCGTGGCATTCTGCAATCTACCTTTTGTTTGGGAGTCTATAAAGTGCGATTTCTTCACAGGACGGAAGATCCATAATGAAATGCGACGCATTGTGGACTTGTTGACAAAAAGTGTTTCGGAGGAACAGCCCTGAAGATGGAGGCAGTGTGTCCCTTCGAAACGTTGGAATCTACTCATAGGTCTGCAAGGCGTTAGAACCCAGGATACCAATCTCAGGAGCCAAACACTGCTTTGGGCCACGCGTCAACATTCCAGTTCGATCCTTCCTAAATTTAAGTGTTCCACTCCGAAGGAAATTTTGTTATCAGTAACCCCGCCTCGCCACGACCCAAAAGTGCGAAGAAATCGATTGCTGTGCTGTGACAATAGACGGAGCACAAAGGTGTTCCGGCCTCATTCATGAACGCTGCTGCTGTTCTTGTATATCGTCAGTGAACAGGGCAGTCAACATACTTTATGGCTCCCATAGCATAAAACCGGCACTGAATCAAACAATGAAATCTGGCCTTGCCTCTAATACGCCTTTTTTGTACAGCGTTAAATTAATTTTCTTATTCTATGATTCTTCCTGGTACGAAGCCTTGTTTTCATTTGAAACACATTTTTGTTGAAAAGTAACATTTAAAAATTTAGAATCATTAGTTATCTTTGCGTAATTAACGAATATAATACGATTTAATGCAGCACAAAAATTAATCTTAAAAAAAATTATCACCAACCAGACATCGAAAATATCGCAGGCTGTACATCGCAATATTTGAACAGTTTGCAATACGAAGTCAAGGCTCTGCGTCTATTATGTTCTGCCAACAGTCAGTTCACGACAAATAACTGAATCAGTAGAGAAGACAGGAAAAAGTTTGTATTTAGGCATTTATATATTCACCAAAATGCATTCGATTGCAATTAGCTAGTTGTTCTGTTTCTTAGACTATCAGTAATAAGATAAATTTATGCTGAAGAGATAGTACGCTTGAGTTTTTACATTGCCAGCGGTCTAACAGCGACCAACACTTTCCTACTGCACAGACAGACAGACAGACAGACCAAAACTCTGGAAACAGAATCTGCAACAGGCTATCCTGCTCGAAAATAATTCGAAAGTGTGCAACTCTTGAGGGACGTTTTGTACTCATTGTCTCAGAGATGTCATAAGCAATTCAACAGTGAAAGTTTGGCCGAAAATCGACCGGCCGATCCAAAGTTACGGGACACGGGGCCATATTACGTAAATAAATTTCCAGATACTTCTCATAACCTTCTTGGCTAATCGGATTTTCCCCAACCACGACATATTTCTAACGACTTTAGACGCTTAGATATCGTTATCTTTTCCCGCTTACTTGCTTCTGAGATATGTTTCACAAAGGGGAGCAAAGGATGTTTATATTTGTTGAACAGTCATCTCGCTGCAGCTTCAAATTTTCCCATTTCTTCTTCGCCTCGTTCTTTTGTTTCTCGAGAAGCTGGAATTTTCGAAGAGCAAAGGGGTACTGGGAAGCCGATACATTAACATTATTCTCAATTCCTTCAAGACAGTTAGAACATTGTGGAACATCAAGCCTTTGTAGCACATGCTGTGAAATTCTGTACTGTAGACATACAACTACATTTGAATAAGTGGTTTTCAACCCGTGACTGAAGTTAGGTCCCCTTCGTTCTTCAAAATGCTAAGACGTTCCTTCAATCGTAACTTAACGTTGCCATCCCACGAGGACCATGCTGATAAGAACTCAACACGTCACAATCAGCTTTATCTATATTTCACAGTAATCGGCACATAAC